TATTAAAAACCATTTGTCTCCATTCACTCCTATCAACACACTCACGCATGCCTGCTGGAAGTCCAACCCTCGCACACAAAACCTCCTTTACCCCCTCCCTCCAACCTTTCCTGGGCCGACCCCTACCCGCCTTCCTTCCACTACAGACTGATACACTCTTGAAGTCATTCTGTTTCGCTCCATTCTCTCTACATTCCGAACCACCTCAACAACCCTTCCTCAGCCCTCTGGACAACAGTTTTGGTAATCCCGCACCTCCTCCTAACTTCCAAACTACGAATTTCTTGCATTATATTCACACCACACATTGCCCCAGACATGACATCTCCACTGCCTCCAGCCTTCTCTCCCCTGCAACATCATCACCCGGCTCAAACCCATTAAGAGCGGTGGTAAAACTTACTCCATACATTCCCTCTTTGCCCCAAAGGGAAACAAAGTTCTTTGTCTCCACAGACTCCTAAGTGCACCACTCACTCTTTTCCCCTCATCAATTCTATGATTCACCTCATCTTTCATAGAAACCCCTCCGTGACACGTCCACTCCCAAATATCTGAATACGTTCACCTCCTCCATACTCTCTCCCTCAATCTGATATCCAATCTTTCATACCTAATCTTTTTTTTATCCTCATAACCTTACTCCCTTTCCCGTATTCACCTTTAATTTTTTCTTTTGCACACCCTACCAAATTCATCCACCAAACTCTGCAACTTCTCTTCAGAATCTCCCAAGAGCACAGTGTCATCAGCAAAGAGCAGCTGTGACAATCCCACATTTGTGTGTGATTCTTTATCTTTTAACTCCAACGCCTCTTGCCAAGACCCTCGCATTTACTTCTCTTAACAACCCCATCTTAAATTATATTAAACAACCACGGTGACATCACACATCCTTGTCTAAGGCCTACTTTTACTGGGAAAAAATTTCCCTCTTTCCTACATACTCTAACTTGAGCCTCACTATCCTCGTAAAACTCTTCACTGCTTTCAGTAACCTACCTCCTACACCATACACCTGCAACATCTGCCACATTGCCCCCCTATCCACCCTGTCATAAGCCTTTTCCAAATCCATAAAATGCCACAAAGACCTCTTTAGCCTTTTTCAAAATACTGTTCACTTATATGTCTCACTGTAAACATCTGGTCCACACACCCCCTCCCTTTCCTAAAGCCTCCTTGTTCATCTGCATCCTATTCTCCGTCCTTACTCTTAATTCTTTCAATTATCACTCTTCCATACACTTTACCAGGTAACTCAACAGATTATCCCCCTATAATTTTTGCACCTTTTTTATCCCCTTTGCCTTTATACAAAGGAACTATGCATGCTCTCTGCCAATCCCTAGGTACCTTACCCTCTTCTATACATTTATTAAATAATTGCACCAACCACTCCAAAACTATATCCCCACCTGCTTTTAAACATTTCTATCCTTATCCCATCAATCCCGGCTGCCTTTTCCCCTTTCATTTTACCTACTGCCTCACGAACTTCCCCCCCACTCACACTGGCTCTTCCTCACTCCTACAAGATGTTATTCCTTCTTGCCCTTTTACACGAAATCACAGCTTCCCTATCTTCATTAACATTTAACAATTCTTCAAAAATATTCCCTCCATCTTCCCAATACCTCAACTCCCCCATTTAATAACTCTCCTCTCCTATTTTTAACTGAAAATCCATTTGTTCTCTAGGCTTTCTTAACTTGTTAATCTCACTCCAAAACTTTTTTTTATTTCAACAAAAATTTTTTGATAACTTCTCACCCACCCCTCTCATTTGCTCTCTTTTTACATTGCTTCACCACTCTCTTAACCTCTCTCTTTTTCTCCATATACTCTTCCCTCCTTGCATCATTCTACTTTGTAAAAACTTCTCATATGCTAACTTTTTCTCCCTTACTACTCTCTTTACATCATCATTCCACCAATCGCTCCTCTTCCCTCCTGCACCCACTTTTCTGTAAAACCCCAAACTTCTGCTGAAAACTCTAACACTAACATTTTAAACCTACCCCATACCTCTTCGACCCAATTGCCTATGCTCTCATTAGCCCATCTATCCTCCAATAGCTGTTTATATCTTACCCTAACTTCCTCCTCTTTTAGTTTATAAACCTTCACCTCTCTCAACCTGATGCTTCTATTCTCCTTGTATCCCTCTACCTTTACTCTCAGTGTAGCTACAACTAGAAAGTGATCTGATTTATCTGTGGCCCCTCTATAAACATGTACATCCTGAAGTCTACTCAACAGTCTTTTATCTCCAATACATAATCCAACAAACTACTGTCATTTCGCCCCACATCATATCTTGTATACTTATTTACCTCTTTTTTCTTAAAATATGTATACCTATAGCTAAACCCCCTTTTTTTACAAAGTTTTAATCAAAGGGGTCCATTATCATTTACACCCGGCACCCTAACTTACCCACCCCACCCTCCGTTTTTTA